AATTTTTTTATTTTTAAAAAATTGTTATATATTTAATTTACTATTATAATTATAAATCTGGATTGTAATTTACATATTTTATATTTTTTAATAAAATTAACTACTTCTAAAAATATTTTTCGACTTAATTGATGTGGGTTTGTAACGGTTCATTTTATGAACCGGTCGGATCAAGTCAGCCCATTAACATTAGAGAAAACGCGCACTCTTGTGTTGAATATTGAATATGACATGGACATTTGGGACACACTTGTCTTTTACTGTATGGATTTTACTTAATATAACAGCCAATTCTTTATTCAAATGACCTGCATTTATATTATAATAAATATTTTGTTAGAAAATATCAATTAGTTTAACATGAGACGAAATTTTTTTTTAATAAAAGCTGTTAATTTTATTATAAGAAAAATATTTAAAATTTTAATAAATATTTATAACATAACCGTAAACTAAACACATAATTATGATATTTTTATATAATCATCAGGATAATAAATAAGTGTAATCTTAATCAGTTGAGGCATTGTCAAACCCAAAGAAAATATAAAAACAAAAAGAATAGTCAAATGACCGGAAAAGTGTTAGAAAGAATAAGAGAACATGCCATAAAAGCAAAGAAAACATGTTACAAAAATAAAGTTATTGAAAATTAATAATCAAAAGGATAATAAAGATATGGAGTAATATAAAAAAATGTGAAAAATAAGAAACACTGAAGATCGAAAATCAATACTAAAATTGATGTTGTCATGACGAAGCAAAAATATAAAAGAGAACGGCACAAAAAAATTACGAAAAAACCTAGGGACAAGCGACTAGATTTATGAATGTGAGAGGATAATTTTTCTAAGTACAATAACAAATTCAAATTTTATAAATACATAAAAGTAAATTAAAAAAAAACATCTTTATAATATATCTCTACAATATTATGTTTGAATTAAACGATAATAAATTTTTTTAAATATAAATCTAAATATTTGTAAGTAATTAACATAAATTGTTTATAAAATTTAATTTAAATATATAAATTATATTTTAGATATTTAAATTGTATAGATATGATAATTCCAATTTCATAATAAATTTAGAATAAATTATAACTTATTTACACTAGTTAAATAAGTTGATAGAAACTAATTATTATGTATGTATAAACATTAGCCTATTAAAATTATATAGAAACATAATCATTACAAATTTATAATAATATGAAATAAATTATTTATTTACATCGATATAAATAAGTTGATAAACAAAAAAACTATTATGCATGTATAAACATTAGTCTGAGTGACATATATTTTTTATCGTGATTTTGGTACCAAAAAATAAATATTTGACATGGTTTCAAAAATATTTTCTGTTGACCGGTGCAGTAGACAACAACCATAGATGGTAGCTAGAGAGTTACTCCGATAGAATGGTCTGAATTTTTTTTTTAGAGAAGAAGTGTTTACATTACGTTTTTGTTGCACGGCTATTTATAATGTTTTGGACAAATGTCGATCGAGATATTGTTTGGACGTTTTAAGAAGTGATGGCTTATACTAATTTATCATCAAAAGACCGTGTGTATCGTGATCGCTGATAATCATATGTGATATATGTTCACAGAGATAATAGGTGATTTACACGTGGTCATTGGTGATTGTACGTAGGATATTCTATACATGTCTAGAAGTTTACATGAGTTTTATATTTACATAGTTTGAGGTTCGCACAAATCATGTGTTCGTATATTCGAAATTTTATGAAACTAAGAGCTCACAGGTAGTAACAAATTTTGAGATCGAAAATCAATTTCGAATCTTAAATTGTAACTTTAAAATGAAAATGAACGGTTTAGATCTCCTTTCATTTTCCGATTATGTTTAGGCAACAACTCGGGATGGGAGGAAGCTGCTCAACTTGAGACAAATTGCTCAACACATGACCGTACAAGTGAAATTGCAACTTGAAAATGCTGAAAATGGCAACTTGGTTATTATTTTATTTTATTTTGGGACCATATTGTTCACATGGTATTTAGTAAGCGACATTCTTGGAATTTTCTAGTTTCTAATTCAATAAATGTAAACTTAGGTAGAATTAGGGGTAAAATAATTGTTGGTCCATAAACTTTGTGCCTTTTCTCAACTTGGTCCTTCAACTTTTTTCTTGTTCATGTTAGTTTTTTTAATTTAACAAATTTTCTCTTTTTTAGTTATTTAATTTATACGACATTATAATTATAGGTCACGTAGTACAATATTAGAGTCTCGCGCCATCAAAAAGGATAATAAATCAAAATTCAAAATTAATATAAAAAAATCAAAGACCAAATTGAAAAGAACAAAAAGTGTTATATTTCAAAAGTTGATGGTCGTTAAACTTTTATGGTTATATCACTTGGTCATTGAAAATTTAAAGCTTGTATTATAATTATTAAACTTTTAATTCACATTCCTTTCGGTCAATCTCGCTAGTTGTCATTTAGAAAAGTTGGTATGACATGTTAAAATCTTCTTTCTCAAAGGAACCATAAAGTTCCAAACTGAAAGTTGACACAAAGGCCAAATTTTAAATGAACGAAACGATCTCTGGTTAATCTCAAAGATGGAAAGATTTTGTTTAGTCAAAAGATTAACATAGTTCAATTTTAAGTTGATACAACGATTGATATTAACAAATAACAAAGTTTTAACTTTTAATTTCGATTGGAATTTGAGAAGATCATAATATTTTTTCGATGAATTTGAATTTAAAAAATAAGATGAATAGTTAAGTGGTCTTTTTCGATTAAATAAACCTCCAAAACGACGAAGAAAAAAAGGATTGATGATTGCCGATTTTTTTAAGTTTTTTAGTGTGTCACATCAATCGTCATTAACGGTTCAATGGTTGAAATGAAAATTTTTCTTTAACGATAGTAACTCCAATAAAGGTTTTTCGATTTCAATAATCAAAGTAAAAATACCCTAAAAATTAAGAGACTGTTTTTGTAGTTTACCCTTCCTATTATTGTTATTGTTTTTATTATTTTATTTTTATGGTGCGCGGTTGACGAATGGAGGAGTAAAAGACGCGTAAGCGCATTTAAACAATGATCTCCATAATGACGATTAACAAATAATGACACGTCACTCATTACTAATACCAATTCGATGTTATTTCAATCAAATATAAAAAAAAATTAAATATCTTCTAATTTAATAACATGAAGCACGAACGAAGCTGCAAGAGTGCATGAGTTTTCTATATTGAATGGTTAAAAATATTTAGAATATATATTATTTAATAATTCTTTAAATTAATAAAAAAACACCAACGAAGCGAACTCAACGATTAAAAGATTTGTTGTTATTATTTGAAGTTTTAGGTTTAAACACCGTAAATACTAAAAGTATTTAATTATTAAATGATTGAAATTATTTAAATGGATATTACTTTATATTTATTTTAAATTTATAAAAAAACAATTAATATGATTAATTGATTATCTGATATTAATTTCAGAAAAAAATATCAAGAAAATTATTTTTAAATATAATTTAATATATATATATATATACTAAATTTATGTTGGTGTGTACGTTAAAAGATTTAATCTCTCAATTAAGATTTTAGATAGGAAGTGAATGAATAAAAAAAGAAAAGAATTTTATCTCTCATTTAATAATTTAATTGTATTCGGGTAGTTGTAAGTTAGTATATATTATAAAGTTTTTCAATCATTTGATAATGAAAATTTAAATATCTTTATGGTCTTTGATACTCGAACCTGATACCTCTAAGAATAATAATTATCTCTTTAATCACAGAGATATTTTGGTTCGTGCTAATTGCATTTAACTTTAAATCTATAACAATTTATGTAATTATAGGGCACAAAAATAAAAAATATAAAAAAAAATCATTTTCATAAATACAATTTGGTGTATATATATATATATAATACGAGAATATTATTTACGTTTGTCCTAGTTTTCTATTTTTTTCTTAACAACCATTAGTCTTTCTTTTTCTTTATTTTTCAACATGCGATGACAACAGTCATAATATTAGTCGTCGTATATCGATATTCGTTATTTTTCTTTTCTTTTATAATTATGTATCTTTGTTTTTTTTGTTTCTAATTTTTAATAACTTTATTTTTATAATAATTTTTTATATCTTAATTCACATTTTCGTTCGTTTAGTCGTTGTTTTCGTTTATTATTTTTTTCAGGTGAATAAGTTAATGTCCAACTAAATAGATCACCAATTTTTTAACATAAAATAACGAGTTTGGAACATATGAATATTCAAGTAACTATTTTTTAACTTTTAATAATCAATGACTCAATAAAGCAACACATTACAATTAAAAAATCATTTTGTAACTTTTAAAAAATCACGAGACTTAAGAAAGTAATGTATTATAATTGAGTGACTATCTGTGTAGGGGTGAGCGTTCAATCGAGTCGAACGAGTTAAATAATTTTGAGTTGACAAGTCATATTTTATAACTTGAAGTTGACTTGAAATTTTTTCGATTCGAATCAAATTTTCGAATTTCTGTTTAAATTTAATTATAAATATTTACAATATTATGACATCATTTGATATTTATTTAAATGATATTTTATAATAATCATATACAATATATATATATATATATTGTATTTTTTTCATATGTAATTTACGTATACCATTCAAAGTCGAGGGACTTGAATTAAGTTTTGACTCAAATTTGAAAATCAATTTACTAATTAGTAAAAAAATCGAGTTATTCGTGTTGTATTTTACAATTCAATTTGAATTTGAAATTTTTTCGAATCGAGTTTATAAAATTAAAACTTGAAGTCAATTCGAGTTGATTTTTTTCAAGTCGAGTCTAGTCTAAAAAATAAACTTTTCGAATCGAGTCGAGTTTTGCTTACCCTACCGAAAAAAAGGTCATTTTCGTAAATACGAGTTGGTGTGTGTGTATATAAAGAGAATAATACTATGAGGTCCAAAATCCATCGCCACTTCCGTCCTCTCAATCCTTTCTTCTCTCCCCCAAAAGCAAAACCCCCCCCTGAATTTCTGTCTCACTTTCCTTCTCGTTTGCCTTTCCTTTTTTTTTCTCCCCTATTTATTCTCTTCGCTTATCGGTTTCCTTTGTAAAAACAAACAATGGCCCAAAGAGCCGAGAACGAAGAAACCGAGTTCAAGGTACCCGAAACGATGACGCTTTGCATCAATAATTGTGGTGTTACAGGAAATCCAGCCACCAACAACATGTGTCAAAATTGCTTCACAGCCACAACAACGACCACCGTCGCTCTCACTGGTTCCCAATCGTCGAGATCCGCGTCGTCCCGTTCGTCAAACAAGCGATCTGAGTGTTCCTCGCTCAAAACGGCGCCGTTTTTACGGGCATCGGGTACGGAGAAGAAGGCGGTGAACCGGTGTTCCGGTTGCAAGAGGCGAGTCGGGTTGACCGGGTTTCGGTGTCGATGCGGCGAACTTTTCTGCGCGGATCATAGGTATTCGGATCGACACGATTGCAGCTACGATTACAAGACGGTGGGACGCGAGGCGATCGCGAGGGAGAATCCGGTGGTTAAAGCGGCGAAGATAATCAAAGTCTGAATTACTCTTTCTTTTTTCCACCTGGAAATTTTAGCTGAGCTGTGCAGATGGATTCTGGATCTGGAAGACCGTTTCAAAATATCAAATCAAGAGATTCACGTCAAGATTGTTGAAGATGAAGGAGATGATTCTCTCTTCCAGTTCCTTCTTTTTCATTTCACTTTCTGGAAAGAAAAAAAAAGAATTGAAGAATCATTGTGGGTTAGGTTTATGACATTTATATTTTAGTATCTGCCATCAGATGTAACCTTTTTAGACTGTTTGTTTAAAAATTATAAATTTGATGAAATTGATTATTATGAAATTTGTTTGAAAACAAAGATTATTCTAAATTCTAAATTAGATCAGTATTTGATTCGACTTGATTTCATATTTAATCCATCGATATTTTGTGTTAATACTTTCAAACAGTTTATGAAAATTTAAGAATAAATTATAAACTTTATCATTTAATTTAGTGCAAAATACTAAAATGGTCTCTAATTATGGGTCCCTACTTAGAAGATGTTGTTTTATTAATTTTCTCAATTATTAAATAGTATTTCAACTATATAGTATTATTTTGTTGATTTTAAAATAATCATTCGATTGTTTTTATATTCTAAATTTGTTATTTTTTAATAAAAATTCACAGACATCTAAGTTTGACGTTAATATGTTGCTTGAGATATGATAATTGTTTGAGATTTTACAACTTTTAATAGTGGAGATTTAAAAGAATAATATTTTATAGTTAGAATACTATTTTGTAACTTTTAATAATCTAGTGATTCAACAAAACAACAACGGGAATCATTTCTGGACTTTACCTTTTATTTTATAATTATTTTTATTTTTAATAATTACAATTTTATGTTAAAATACATAAAAATATTATAAATTTTTTCTTTGGATTTATGAAAATATCTTCATGATTTTTTTTTCAAATTTTTAATCAAATTATTTATTTTCTTTGATCTTTCGGTTCAAATTTTAACAGTAAAGAAGTGAAAGAAAAGATACAAATAACATATTATATTTGTATAATGATCAGATAATAAAAAATATAAATTAAAATTATTCTTTTAGATTCTGAATTGAAATTTCATGAACTTTAAATGTTTAAAAATGTAAAATAATAAATAATAAAGAATTATGAGATAAGTTTATCAAAGTCTATAAAATTCAAAAAAAAAAAAAAGAGAATAACAGTTCCAACCGCAACATCACATGAAGATAAAATTAAAAAAATAAAATTGTTAAAATCATGGGCTGATGTATGCAGCTCACATGGAGTTCAATTGCATACGTATTATTTTTAGAAATCTATTAAATTTAATTTAATTTAGTAAGAAAAATAAAAGAAATAACAAAATTGATATATTTATTTTTTTAAATAAAAATATTAAAATTTTAGATTCTCATTTCTTAATTTCTAGTTTTACTATAGTTTAAAATGATAACGACATAAAAAATATAAGAAACAGTTAAATTTAAGTGATAAAATTCATAATTTATCATTTCAAGAATTATTGTTTTTTCGAATTTATAATTTTATGGTTTTATTTTTAGAAAAAAAATCTAATTTAAAATTTTAAAAGATAAGAATTTTTTGTAGTGTGTTCTTTGTACGAATCATACACTAATAGAAAGTTTTTCCAATGCTTTATTACATACATAGAAGAGTAACAAATAGCGACGATATCCTTTTGTCGTCGGTAAAGTAACAAGCGTTTTAAAATTAAGGGTAAACTACATGTTTATTATCTAAACTATTATTTTTGTTTGGTTTTGACAGTCAAGCTTTATTTTTTTCCAAAGCCATAAGAAACGTTTAATTTATGTTTCAATTTAGTACTTCATCATTAAAAAGAATAACAAAACTGCTGGCGTAGCATTTTTTTTATTTCAATTGTGATGTGGTATTATCTTATGTTGACACATCAACATAATCGTTAAGTTATTAACGACGATATATCAAAATGAAACCTAAATTAAATGTTAGATATGCCTTAAAAATAAAGTTTAAGTGTTAAAAATGGAGTAAAAGTAATAGTTTAGGGATTAAAGTGTAGTTTACCCTAAAGTTAAATGAAGAGTGCCGCACATAATCGTCTTTCCCATGCTAACTTAGCTGTCGCCAAAAAACAATGGCAAAATCCAAATATGTTGTAGACCTAGAAAAAATATTACTCCTAAAATGTTATGGTTAGTACTTGTACTATGTATAAGTTATGAATCTAGTATTTATATTTTAATTCTCTCAATTTTAGTCCTATACTTTACAAAATTTGGAATTCTAAAGCTGACTAAAATAAAAAAAAATAATATAACTAAATTACATAACTTAAGTTAACAAATTAAAAAATGGCTGTCCCTTTTTCCTATATGTATGAGATAAGGGGGAGGTAAGATAGTAGATTGCCCCAACACCAAGTTGAGAGCAGTTTCCGTAATAGACCTCCGAATTATGAAATGCCCTCCGTGGGACTCGATCCCACGACCTTAAGTTAACAAATTAGATAACAATAATTAAATTTACAACTAATATATAATATAAGGACTTGGCAAAATTTAATTCAATAGATTATATAATTAGGGATAGACATTTACCTAAATCTGATAAGTTTTGATAGAACTAAACCTGATGTTTTTTTTCAAAAAAAAATTGAGTTTGAATCGGATGAAATCAAGTGAGCTTCCATAAATTCAGGACAAATCATGTAACAAATGAAAGGGTGTTATATTCGGATCGGATGGGCCAAAAACTCAATAGATTAATAAAAATTGAGAATCAAAATTTTAAAAATAGGTTAACTAAAATTAATCAAAGTTAAAAAATATTATTTAATTGTAGTGAAAATATGTAGATTGAAAATAGTAAAACGTGCTCTCTTTTTTTGGGAGAAATAGATTATAAAACAGTATTTATTCTATGCTTTTCATCATTAATTTAAGGTGATTATAAAATAATATTTATTCTATGGATTTCTAATTACTTAATAATAAAAATTCAAATACTTTTATTGTACATTTTTTCTTCATAAAATATTATGATTTAGCATCATTTAAGAGTAGGGTTGCTACCCTCAGGACGACAACATCATCATCAACATCATCATTGTATTTGTTACTAATATATTAATGTTTTCATCATCATCGGGAAAAGGCGGTGCACGATTTCTCTTCTGGCGGAGCTCATTCACCAAAAATATTTTAAATAAAAATAATAATTTAATATCCAGTATCATACCACCGATTGCGGTGAAACTAATAAGCTAAACTACAAGTTTAGTACCTAAACTATTATTTTTATTCTATTTTAATATCTATTTTTTTCTTTAAAATCATATATAACACCTAGTTTAGTTTGATTTTTATTTTAGTATTTCGCCGTTAAAAACTTAACGTTGATGTTGACATATACCATAAAATAATGTTACATCATCATTGGAAAAGATCACATCAATTGTTCTGTTAATTTTTTTATGGTTGAGTATCAAATTGAAATCTAAACTAAACATTATGATTTAAAAAAATAAAGTTTAGGTACCAAAATAAAAATAATAATCTCATATTACCAGTCAAATAATGTTGCAAAATCATGAAAGATAATTTCATTTTAAAATCTTATATTACTCGAACCAAACTCGCCCTCAAGTGATAATATAAGCTACGAGGCATTATCAATATAAGGGCAGAGTAACTTGCTATAAATGTATATAAACATAGCAAATAAAAGCCACCCAAGGAACAAACATAATAAGTTGCCAAAAGTCGAACATTCGGAACAATGATTCTCTTAAACGACGATGTGAATCGAACTAAATGCAAAGAACGAAAACACCCTAATACTTATACTAGTGACTATGGTGCTTCAACTTCGAATAATATTCAAGGTTTGGAGGTTTGGTTTTGATAGCTTTCAAGAGATAAACACATGCACATAGGAATTCAGACTTGAAAATGTTAGAAAATAAGTGAACAGAAAAGGAATGACATACGCCCATTTCGAAGGATCAGATCAGGCTCCATCTGGCTGGATGAAAGGATTAGCAATCTCATCTGTGCCATCAGTTGGTGAGACCAGCATAACCGCAGTGCCCCTACAAACCTGCATCAACGAATGGAAGTATTGTTCAACTTCAAATGATATTACCGTGTTTGTATCGACATCCTATAAACCCTTCGGATTTTTTTTTACGTTTACTTCCTATTATTTGAGACACTATAACATGTACAGAACCATTCCGAATTGTATCTTATGTCCACACAACTGGGGGCAGATAAAGAAGACACAGGCCTGATTTTTCTTCACAAACTGTAATTCAATAATCAATAATTTAAAGCCGATGATTCTCGCTTAAAGTTGTTGGAAAAGATGGAAAATTAATGTCATGAGGCAGTAGTGGTCTAGTTGGAAAACAAATGCTAATGGAAAAATTAGTACTAGAAAGAGCTTCAAAATTGTGATTACATTGCTTATGAACGATATGGGTAGCGTGGAGCTGTGAACTCTGCAACTAGAACAAAATTTAGACAATCTTCTTGACAGTAACATTTCTCAACTGGGTTCCACAAGAATATGATTTGGACATGTAAACAGCCAAAATATTATCAGGGCATAGGTTCAGGTTATAAAATCCATACGAATCCAGCAGAGAAATTACATGCATTGCTGGAGAAAATTTGGATTACTTCTCAAAATGGCACCATAAAATTGAACAAAAAAATGTAAAAGGGTACAGAAGGGAAGGGAAGGGAAGAAAGAACATACTATCAAGCCAAGACGCCTAGTCTGATCAGTAGTCTTCAATGGATCATCCTGGTCTGCAGAGAATGCAAAAATAGCAGAGCAAATCAATTTTTTTGTTACCAGCAGATATATGAAACAATTTCAGAAAGAAAGTAAAGAAGATAACAAACTCTCCCAGAAGTTTCAATTTTCAGTTTGCAACTGTCCACACTCTTAATTGTTTACACGAGAAATAGAACTAGAGAACAGCAAGTTTCGGCCTACTGAGAATAACAATTGACTAACTACTAACGTGAAAATTTGCTATAAAAAGTTTCCTATAAGTTCAATTCTGTAAACAGATCATCTAGATTACACGTTTAGAGATTATCCCTAGCCACCATTTCCATTATAAGGAGAACATGCATATTAAGGAGGAAAGGGGGGAGATCATAAATGCCCTTGGTGGGTAAAATATAAAGAACGATCAGTTTAGAAAATCCCTAGCCACTGTAATCACACTCAACCAAACAAAGATCAGATCCTCAAAACTGCCATGCAGTAAGGATTTGGCATAATGTAGCAACTACCACAAGAATTTATCTGAACGAGCTGATACTAATTGCTCAGCATGCAGCAAGCATGTGTACTGGAAGAACTCTCTAAACATCCTTATTTTTGCCTCCATGAAGCAACACAAGCACTATATGAAATTTATGGAACAGACTTCCATACTCTATTTCCCGAGTGCTTTTGAAATTAATTGAAGGGCAGTAAGCAACAATCACACTGCAAATTGAAATTTCAATTTAAAAGGGCAAACTAAAGCAGCAGCATATCCTACTATTTTTTCATTTATACTGGACAGAAAATGAAACATACACTTCTTTGTAGCATGAGAGAATTGACGGTAGACAATACATAGAAGGATCATTAGAAGAGGTGGAGCAAAGAGAAGGTGTAAAATAATTTATGCGAGGAAAACAAGTGAAATACTAGTATTGAACCTATGCTACTCTGACCAGGGTGAGACTGCAAGACAAGGGACTTGGGTGAGAGTGTAAGATACGGATATGTGTCCAATAAAAGTATGATCAAATTTTCTTTTACCATGTATTCGGTACCCTCTTGGAGAGTTAACATGGGTACATCAAGAAAATGAACAATAAAGGCAACATACCATGAAACTACTAACTGTTACATAGGTATATCCATCTACTTGACACAGGTCAGTGGACTTCAGAAAAATAAGGTGTCCACCATTCATCAAAGAATATAGTTCGAAACCTAGGAAGATGTATTATACCACACCAATAAGCATGTTTACAATGCACCAGAGGCAATTACCTCGAAGAAACTCTACAGCTTCGTCCAGGACAAGATTTAGTAATTGGTCATATCCTTTTAGGGTCCCTGTGACTGAACAGAAAAAAAGGCTCATGAAATAATAAACTCAATCAAACAAATCATAGGAAAAAGAAAATGACCTCCATGCATCTAGGGTACATGGCATGTTGCAATAGTTGGCAATAAAGCCCGGCCGGTACTATTATTTGATGAGATAACATTAGATCCATGATGTCAAATTATTTCGATATGACAATTCTTTAGCAACACTCATAATCTAAATTCAACTTAACATTCGATTCTAGATTACCAACTCAGTCCTTTATGATAAAAAGAGAAACCGAAAGCTCATGAAAGATTACCTTCTCTACCGCCGGTGAGTTTGACCTGAACACCTTTGTCTACAAACTTAGCCAAATCCAAGACTGTTTCTTTCCTGCCCGACTGAACAACATAATCATCCATTGCAAATTATTGTTTTCAAGATTAGAAAGAAGAAGAAAAAACAGTAACAAAAAGTACATTAATAAAAAGAAGGTAAACTACATGGGCAATTCTAAGAGAGAGGGAGAGTGGAAGTTACCATATTGTAGGTAGTTTGGGCACCTGTGTGTTAAGATTTCTTTACCCTTGCAAATGCAACTCCTTTGGGCACTATACCCAGAAACTAAAAACAAAACAAAACAAAAACTGTAAACAAAAAATAGGCAAATTTCAATGGATTTAGCAAAGAAACAGTAAGAAGTAGTTTCAACTAGCGGCGGAGTAGCGCCGCCAGCTAAAGGCCTCAATACCAACTGATCGCGGCCGCAAATCAGTTATAGAATAGTGATGCAGATGCCGAGAGCAGATAACTCAAAATCTCTCTCGCGACTCAAAGTAGAAATCAATGTTAAAAGTTAAGTTTAGGGTTTCAAGAATTACCTCAATTTAATTTAAATTCCCTGTTCTATAGGGAACTTGTAGGCAAGCTTTTGTTTTAGCAACGGAGTGCGTGAATGTTTAGTGAACCACAAGTTTAATGCCCAATTATCATTTTTGTCATTTAACCATTTTTTAAATTATATTTAACGTATTGTCGTTACAAATTTAACATAATTGATGACTTGGCATTTTAAAAAAAATTAATGATGATGTATCGTTAATTTTTTAACAATAGACTGTGACCAAAATATCAAAACATAATATTATGTATAATTTTAAAATAAAAATAATTGGATCATCAATATATAATAAAAGTGATAGTTGAGGTATAAAATGTGTAGCTTACACTTTATAATTTTAGATGTGTTTTTTTAATTGAAATAGTAATTATATATCAGTTTTGATTTTATATTAAAAATTGAGTGACTGTTTTATTTTGTTATTGTATAAATGTAATTAAATAATAATGGAATTTTATCTCACTTATTTTGTGAGTTGGGAAAATTACTAACGGAGAGAAATAATATGTTTTAAAATTTTTTTTAGAGAAATGCGATAAAATTTAAAATAATTATTAAAATGTGCTTATTCTTATCTTTAATTTTTTTTATTATTAATCGGATGTGAGTATAAGGTAGTATATGTTTAAAGACTTTAACCATTTGACATTGAACGTACATAGCCTTAGTGGTGCTTGAACCTAAGACGTCAATAAATAATAACAATTTCTTAACCACTGAAATCGTTTAGTTTGTACTTGTCTAAGTTAAAACAACAAAGTTGGACAATTATTTTCGTGTGGACACCCTCGAAAAACATAAAATTATAGATGTAATGGCTAAACTTAAGACTCTATATGTAATGGGTAAACTATATAAATAGTCATTTATGTTTGAATAAATATCTCTTTTTTCAATTGATGTTTCAAAATAAACGATTTAATTATTAATATTATCGATCTATAACAAATCAATCACTCGATAGGTCAAAATTAGTCCATTAATCCGACATTCCTATAAGATTGTGCTATTCCTTGATTATGATAGTGTTCATTTTAGGTGTTGCAATATTTAAGTGAAAAATAATTAATTTATATCGCTATATATAAAGTTAATAAGTTTTTATTATTATAAATAATACTAGTTAAGTTATTGTAATAATTTAAAAATAATATTATTAAATTTTTGTAATATATAATTTCATTTATTATATTCTTTATAGTGAATAGTTTTTGAACAATTCATCAAACAACAAAAAATGATTTATATAATATCATTTAAACATCTGAAAATAATTTTTGAAAACTGATTTTTTAGAAAATATAATTTATTTTAAATTATTTTTTAGAATATACCCTTATTTTTAGAAGAAAAAAAGAATATTAAAGTATATTATTCAAATTAATTAAAAAACACTTGAGTGTATTACAGATTATATAGCCCACAGGTACAACAAATTTCTAACAAACTAACTAATATATGAAGCCCAACAAAATCTTACCAAACCCAATGGGTTTGCTTAACAACCCACATGGCTCAACATTCACTGATTATATAACAATTGAAAATATAAATAAATGAGTATTATTATAATTATATAAGAGATATTATATTATCTTTTTAGATTAAAATTGGGTTTTTCACCTTATATCCGAATCTGACTTGACACCATCTTTCAAAAACTCTGACATGACTTGACTCAAGCTCAAAATTTTTAAAAAAATAGCTCGATTTTATCGAATTGGATAGAAATCCGTCAAATTTAAACCAAATGCTCATCCCTACCTACATATAGCTAATTGAGAACTTGACTATTTTAATTTGCAGTGGTAGATGCATGTGTTTTTTTTATGTGAATATGTTATTATTCTTAAATTTGAAATTGTTTTTGTTAGTCATTTATTTTCTTGATGATGTCCAGCCTTAGAGGCGGAACATAGTGCGGATTTGTGGGTCACGACCCCCAAATTTTAAAAAACTAAAATTTAGACCCTTAAATTATTTTAAAAATTTTAATTTATCTTCCATTTTTTTAGAAATTTAGATTAAGTTTTAAATTATTTTAATGTTATTAATTAAACCCCTCTCATAATTTTTAAAAATTCTCATTAAGCCTCTCAAAATTTTAAAAGTTTTAGTTAGACCCCAATTTTTTTCCAAAAAATGTAAAATAAACTCTTCAATTTTTTCAAAATTTTAATTTAAACCTTTAAACTTTTTAAATTTTAAGTTGCCCCTCTCAAACTCTATCATCAAGTTCCGCCACTGCCCAACCTAAAATTTTATTTGTACCCATCACATACAAAAAGTTTATGTTATTAATATAGTGCACACCTTCAAAAAAATATTTATAGATCCTCTTACGTTCGCATGCATGCATGTAATGGATAGTTTCCTATTGCTTAAAATGCTAGCATTTGTATTGTGTAAATATTGTTCCAAGTGATAACCTTCCAATCAGAATGTTGAAATCTGCAACTTTTCTGGCATTATTGTTAGTATTTGTCAAGGATCATTCAAGTACATCAAAAAATCTATAAAAACTGAATTATACTCGTGTCGACGGGAATGAGGGGCGCGGTTGTCCATGAAAATTTTAATCTTTTATTAATAATTTATTTTTATCTCTTAAAATTTTATAAATTCATCATTTAATATAAAACTTTACATACATCTATATACTCGTGTTATATATATATATACATAAAAATTTACGTCTATCTCTATATTCGTGTTATATATATATATGTAGATATATAATATTCGATATTCACACCAGAATACGAGTAATATAGCCTTGAACAACAAAATGGGCAAAAACAATATATCTGCAGAAAATTTTGAAGTAGTCTAGGTCCCTAGGAGGAGCGTGGAGGAACCGTTTGCTAGGTGCATTTTGTCCGAAATACAGTGCTAAACAAAGGGTTTAATATAACCCTAATTCAATTTAAAGTATAATTAAGATTCATATGATCATTTTTTTATTAGTATGGGGTGAATACAAGTATTTATTCAAAAACTCTTGATCATTTTATATTAAACGCTCATATACGCCTGCATACGTGGTGCTCAAATCAAGAAATAACAAAAATTACTTATGTAACCCCCAGACCGATGCGGATAACCCGATCCGATCTGGGTTGTCACATTAGAGCCACCGGAGCGACCCACAGTAAAAATAGCGGAAAATTTAAAACTTTTTATCAGAACATGTAAACTTATAAAATCATTTGTCACTATTTAAAAATAAAACAGATTTCCAGACTCGTATATAAAACAAAATACAATTACATGCCCCCTAATCACATGTATCATACTCTGAAAACAACGCCGGAAGAACTCCCTTACTGTTGTCGATAGCTGCACTGGTATAATTCTTTTAACCTGCAATGTTGAGTAATAGAGTGAGCTTCGGAAAGCTCAGTAATACAGAACTACCTGATGATGCTAAAGGACATGCAGATAAATGGAAAGTCATAATTTTCTTATTGAATCAGACGTATACAAATTTTCAGAATAATCTGAGGTTCCACTGGTAGTTCATCGAATAGAATCCATGAATATCTCAGTTCATAGGAAGCATTCATAGTATCACGTTTTTAGGATATCGAATAGGATGTCTAGTGTGTTCCAACAATACAATAAAATCATAATAGGTACAATAAACAAATCATAGTCCAGTAAATCTCATAAATTCATAAAAGAGTTTAACTTTTGAAAATCATAGTTTAAACTCTTTTCTTGTACACCATCAGTAATAATTTCCAAAACTATTTTCCATATAGCTTACTCTAAGCACACAGCAAAAAGAAAGCCAACCTAAGGATAAGCTTTAGAGCTTGTATCCTTAAGCCCGTAAGTCCAAGTCCATATAGCTTACCCTAAGCACACATTAAGGGAAGCCAACCTAATGTATCTTGGGGCCCCAAGAGTCACATTAGGCCTATTCTGTTTATTAGCTTGATCAGAGCTATACTATTGTAATTCAATCCAAAAGTTCAATTGCACACTGACACAAATTCCATAAATCATCACATTAAATTGGTGCATCAATAAAACAATAACCAAATAACTCAGTGTACCTCATATTAAAACCAATAAAACAGTTCAGTAATAATTAGGGAACACACTAGAGGATCCAAGTATTTTTCAGAGGCATTTTGTAATTATCGGTAAGGATAACATGAAGCTCGTGCAATTTGATCGGATTCTAAGAACAAGGTCCTATTAGAGAGAATCGATTATTAACCGATCTAATCAGACATTTAAAGTTGATACTTTAGAATTCCACTATGATTCATGTGCATCAGGAAAGCGTTCCAGAATGCCCAGAGTGATTTGAGCTAATAAAGGAGAAACGAAGCTTCAAGACATTTACAATCCATGTTAATCGATCGGTTTATCGAACAATTCGAATTGAACAAGCTCTCTGAACTAATGCATGTTGACCCGTCAATTTACTACCTTTTCAGAGTATTTACTCTTTAATACCAAAATTCTTGTCCATAAATCATCTTCGTAATCATCGCTGAATAGATCTTCCAATAGTCTTTATTTCATTTCCATATTTCAACGATATCAGGAAATACACACGTACTTGATTCATGTTTTATGACCCATAAGGATAATTCATCATGTAAGTTCAACAGTGTTCCCAAACTCATCAAATCACCTATTTAATCCTCAGTCATTGAGGTTACTCAGTTCGTTTATCAGTCAAGTCTATCCCGATTACTTCAGAGCTTTCCAGATAATCCAGACGTTTCTGAATTTCATATATATATATATATATATTGTACTTCCGTTTAATTTAATTTGGTCTTCGTGGTTGATTTGTCTAACAAATATTCATTTCTTATTATCGAATGCGACCTAGAGTTGAGTTGAGCTGAGTACTTTCAAAATTATCATTGAAGCACACTTGAGAAGACGAACACGCATTCAAGTAACATCTATACATTTCAGGTACTGACATATACACTAGCATTGATTGCCCGGCTTAATATGTGATCCATAACTTTTAAGAGCAGTACCATATCCATGTTTATTTGGATTCCTTAATTAATCCAACACTTCTACTAATTTAAGGTCATAATGGTATTTTGGTCATTCTGGTGCCCAGTTTTATTCCATTCTTTTCAGAGCTCTAGGATATCCAATCATTCCTGAGCTTGGTAATATTCTTGAGTCTTTTTCATTACAGGGGTATTCTGGTCATTTTACAGATCCGGTGTATTTCAATTCTTTCCTTCAATTCAGTCTTTTTATTTAATTCCAACTTATCATTTATTCCAGACATTTCAAATAATTCTTACAAAAGAGCACCCTCGATAATTTATTCTTAACTCGAAGATTTTTAGATCGATTGTCTTCTCAGATGTTACCAATAGGTTATCAGAAATTTTATGTACAAAGACAAGATCTTAACAATTTAATACGTAATTTATTGAGTTAAGTACAAATCCTCCAAGAACTTTCTCATTAAGGGTCAACTCGAGCTATTTTTACCTTTCAAGGGCATTTTCGTAATTTCTTAACCAGATGATTTCGGTATTAACTCTTAACGAGCATACTTATAATTTAAAGATCCTATGGTTAGTTGTTTCCTCGAACATTCTCTGATCTTGAAATGATTCCTTAACAGACTTCTAGTATCTTGCAAAATCCCTATTGAGGTTAAAAACCGGTTATCCATAATTTCCAAGTAAAACTAACATTTCTTATGCACATCAATAAATTTATCAGATCAATATGTCTTTTCAGATTTACTAATCTACTTCCAGGGACAATTCTTGTCATTTTCCAACATAAGGGTAATTTCATAATTTTACCTAATCGAAATATTCTCATAATTTCTCATATAAGTACCTTTAACATTTAATCTTTGATGATATAAAATATAAGTTACAAATTCAGGGCTGATTTCTTTATCACTTATCACAAACTTGTAATTTAATTCTAACAATTCCTCAATCTCTTATATTAGTCATTCGATCCGTATTTAGTTACAGAATTTCTACCACATTCATATCGAGTGAATAAATTATTCAACTCCACAAAAGTGACCAACGTTATCTTATTCATGTATTTACCAATATCAACATGTTCCATAAAGCATAAAGAGGTAGTAAAGTATTACCTCGATTTCCGTACAATATCGATCGACCATTTAAATTCCATTTGAACGCCCTCGATCTTTAATTCAACTTCCAATATTTTTCCCACGATCCAGGCCATAAAAATTACTAACTCGTATCCAAATAATTTCCCTTGCCATAAAAATAACTTATTAGAATCTAAATAATAAAATGAGAACCTATTTGTTAACACTAAAAACTTTAGGAGTCAATATAATTTTTAATTACTAAAATTAGGGACTAAATCAATCTTAATAAAACCATTATGCCATAATCATAACAATATAAAAGCTAAGAGACAAGGTTGAGCTTTTAACACTTGGATGTCTTACCTTATAATTTCCCCCTTTCTACTTTAATAACAAACCCCCAAATTAACGTGCTGTTCCCTTTCCACTTTCATTTTCAATTCTTTTTTTTTCTTTCTTCCTCACATAATCTTTCTTTCCAGACTTAGACTTTAAGTCATTTTCTATTTCTCTTAGATATCTTCACCGAGCTCTGCAAATGAAACAAGGAAGCTTCGTCGGCCGACAATCAAAAGTCGATGACCACCGCGTCGGTTACCGTCTTTAGTCACCGTTCGAGACCCAAATCATACCATCGAAGCCGCCTCATTCTTCTCCTCACGGATCTTACCTCCCTTCACCGAGACTCGCGATGGACGTTTGTAGATACAGTCACGGCATGTCCGCCAAAGGCGTAGAGTATGTTGGCAACTCCGGTGAAGTTGAGGACTAGCTTTGTTGGACCACTGTGTGTGACGACCTCAGCCTGGCCGTGAATAAGGGCAGCTATGGCCATGTACCAGACCGTATAGGTAATCATTCCAATACCTATAAAAGACCAAATCCGGTAGTTGTGAAAGAACGATATGAAAACTGTGGTGGCGCATCAAACTCCAAAAATATAGTTCCATGTCCTTTGTCCAATTTATCATTAATATAGAAAATATTGCTTGCACAAGCAATGAGTTGTATGACAGATCCGAATAAGATGAAACTACAATTGAAAGCAAGTCCAGCTGCCTTCCAGTATGGTCCCAGCAACCCATCAAGCATTTCTAACCACTGGATGACATGTTTTTTTTTTAAATTAATTCCCATCACTCATAGCTTTGCTTGGATTCATTTGTTCCTTTATTAACGAGTTGGTCTTTTTTTTCTTTCTTTCCAGTTGGCATGTATTAAAAATAATACAAAAGTTTTGATGGATACAAAAGCTGGCCGAAAGTGAGAGCCCGAAGCAATGGATTCCAACCATGGCTGCTTTATCCTTACTTAAAAAATTATCTCATATGAGTGGCCCTCAATTGTTTAATAAAATAATAATATAATATAACAATTATTAGCCAACCTCACTTCATATCATTTAACAATAATAAGCTAACGTATTCTAGAAATCTCTTAACTTATAATAATCAAATGAGGGAAAATAATAACTAAAGTCCATGAATTTTCTCCATAATTCTTTTGAATCCAATACTTTATCATTTCTAAAATTTAACCCCTAAGTTGGGGTATGACAACTTAACCACGGAAGATTTTAGATAAAATAAATTGAATAATATTTACATATAAAATGATAGAAGTGAGAGTTACGAGAAAAGGTTGAGGTTGGTGTTCATCGAATGTTATGAAAGTTTGTTGACACTTGAAATTATAAGAGGAATTACTGCATTTTATGATGACATTATACATATATACATACACATAGACTATGGTATTCTGTCCAGTTATGGGTGCATTCATAAAACAAAAATCGATTTGAATTATAGTTTATACCCTAGATATTACATATTATTTATCCAAATTATGATCTCCATTCTAAATTGATCGTTAAACTTAAGATATGTAATATCCCAGATTTTGACTAGTAACCAAAATATAATTTTTGAAAGTTTAGTGGTCAAATTATAAACTTTGGAAAAGTTCAAGGACCAAATTGTAATTTTGAAAAGTTATGTAATCCGACTTTGCAAATGAATAGTTTACCCCCAAGAATGACGTTTCCGTGACAATTATAATTTTCGCACGGATTTTGTATTAAAAGCTATAAAGCGATAAAGTTTGAGAAAAGTTCGGATAATAAGATCGAATCGAATTTTCAGAAAATTTTGAAGGATGATGAAGCAAGGTTTAAAATGTCATTTCCATGACTTAAATTTTTAGCATTTAACATAAACCGTTAGATTTAAGATAGTTTTCCACAATCAATTTGGACCGTTGAATGAAAAATGGTTAAATTATAATTTTAACAGATTCGAAGGGAAAAGTTGGTAACTACTAACTCATTGGTTTATTTTTTTACCATTAGATGAACAAATTGACATGTGACAAGTTATGGAGCCTTGAATTTCAAGGGTAAAATGATCATTTTGCAATAAAATGAATTTTTAACATTAAAAGATGATAAGTATGCTTAGATTTTTATTAGGAAAATTCTTGGAACTTGCTCATCTTTTCTCCCTTTGACCGTGAGCTACATCTAAGGTAAGGAGAAACTTTCTTTTTGATTTTCAAGCAAATTTCTTAGGAATTTGGATGGAAACATGAAATAGAAAATTGTTCTACATGAAATTCTCTATCATTTGGTACCATTAGTTCATGTTTTTCATGCTTAGAACATTGGATTCTTGAAATTGATGGATGAAGAGGATGTTAGGTTTTGATGAACTAAGGCTTGATTATGGTGTAGTTGGTGTTGGAGAACCATTTCCATGCCTGTATGGTGATTGAAACTACATAGAATTTCATGTAGTGATATTTGGCCATTAGGGTTTATTTAGAAATAAATTGTTTGAATTGAAATTGATAAGGACTTGATTGTAGATGAATGGAAATGATGTTTGGAAGTTGAATTCATGCTTGAATCAAGTTGGAAAGTTAGCCTAAAGTGACCCTTCATATTCGGCCATAGTGGATAATTGGGGAAAATGTGTAAAAATTTCCTTAAGGCCAGAAATGATGAATGGATGGGTTTGCAAGCTTTAGAAAGTTGTTTGAACCAATTTGGAAGCTTATGGAGGTTTAGGTATCAAAAACGCAAAAAGGAAGAAGTTTTGGGAATATTTGGGATGGATTTGAATAAGTAAAAGGGATGAAGGACCAAGAATGCAAGTTGTAAAAATGGATGGAGAAATTAAGGATGCAAAATAAGGAAAACTATTTAGAATTTTGAAATCTGGCAATGAGTTTGAAAATCACCAGAAATTATAAAAAAATTATTAGGAGGTTATTTTTATACCGTTGTGTTCTTATATAAGTATAGTTTTGTTTAAAATATTTGCATTCTTATTGGCATAAACCATATGCAATTGAGCAGCAGCATTAACAAGAGCATCTTCATCCTGAGACTGTGCCTTGTACAAGATGGCTCCGGTTTTGCTACAGATGACAAAAACCGGTTGGGATGATATGTATTAGCAAATGTATACAATAGAATTTTGAAATTAAGAACAAAGTTATGATACTGTTACGATCTATCTCTAAATTGCAGCTAAAAGATTCTACCAAGATAGAAGATAGAATCACCTCTTTACAGGAATATAACAGTATTACATATAGCCATAACTGTGACAAATTGAACAACGTCAGGAGAGCTACCAGCAACAGCATTAAGCAGCTTTGTATCTGTGCACCAGTGGCAAAATCGGTCATAATCATAGTTTACATGAAAATGTCTTCAATATTTGAAAACCAAAAGAAACACCAACTGATTTAAAGATCCTCCGAATGAATTTTAAACTATTTCTAGCAAAATAAGAAGCATAAAACATTAAGAATACTGAGCTCATTTATCTAAAAGCATGCAATTTGCTTCAAGTCATTATTTTATTTCCAAGAATAAATACTAAAACCATAAAAAATAACTTATTAAAGACTATTTTAAATGATAAATCAGAACATTATAAAGAGGGTAAAATGATATTCAGTTGTACATCTTTTATCGATATAAGTAATAAACTGTAATACACTCTTAAAATGGTCAAACATTTTTCCTCCCATAATTTATGGCCCAAGGGCAAAATAGATGTGCAGAATTGCTGAAAGCTTGGACCACTATATAACACCAGCAGCTTGGAGCATTGTGCAACACACAAAGAAGTATCAGAAAATGTACAAAATAGCTAGGAGTTAAGAAAGAGTATACTTACTAGACCCAACATAGAAGCTTCAATAATACACAGTCACATTCTACAGCAATACGACTATTTATCAAATTAAGCCCATTCCCAATTTTGGACCCCCTCAATTATAAAATATCAGCTTTTATGAACAAGTCATAAAAAGACAAACTGTCCCTGATTATTTCAAGCAAGACATCCATCCAACAGAAATGAAAACCTAAACAATGGATTCAATGAGAAAAGATTAGGCAATAAGCAAGAAGGTGAAAAGTAGATAACGAACCTTTCAGTGCATCACCACTCTCATTTCCGTAGAAAACGCCACTAATGCAGCATCTTCTAAAGATCATTCTATTTTCAGTTAGTGTTCCAGTTTTGTCAGTCATTATGTACTCAACTTGTCCAAGGTCCTCACTTATTGCTGTGCTGCCGCATAAAAACAAACCAGTCTTATCAAATATATACATTCACTAAAATCTATGGCAGAATCCAACCAGCTAAATAATCGCATATAATTCTTTTCGAAAACATCTCTTATATAACAAAGTTTTAGTAGTAAAAATAAACTTAATAATATGGTAAGAAAAAAAAAGAGAGAGAGATAAGAGTTGTGCAAAGTAAAAACAAAAGGGAGAAAGATAAACAAAAAGAGAGTTAAGTGAGACCAAGTCGTACAAGACTACAACATCTACTCAAACATTGAACAGGTAACGTTTAGTTCGAGTGATATCAACACAGCTACCAGCTTTGTATACTACGAAGGACACTCCAACTAACGAATTTCTTGAAAAAAAAATACTTACTTCGTTGCATGTGAAGGAATAACAGTCTCATAATCTATCATCTCAGAATCCCAATCAATAAACTTTGCATATAAACTTTTCACAAGATCCAGAGAGACCTGCAATAAAAGGCTTGATGGTTAACAAGGTAAAATATCTGAGAAAGAACTCAAATATGGAAATGAAATCAAAATTGAAGCAAATAAACAAGATTAGCAGCAACAATTATAAGGATGTTTAAGATGAAACTTATATTCTCATCTATTCGAAAACTTAGACTTCAAGTAAAGAAACCGATCATCTCCAAACCACACAACCTAAGAGTATTAGAAAATAACCCTTTAATCCAAGAGCTATTAACTTGCACATCAGTACAAGGGCATGTGTCTACAATAAATTTAAACTAGAACTAGTTTTTGACACCCACTTCCTATTAACAACCAAATGATTGAACAAAAACATTCTACACTTGTCCTACTAGGTTTTCTATTTATTCCTAGTACAACCAAATGAAACTAAAACATTTCTACATTGGTAAAGTTGTAATGCACTCCTAATCATATTATAATCATGCCACAGAATATTATTATTTTAAACTCAAAACTCACGCCACTGTTGCGCCATTATTTTGATATAGTCAATAACCGCGTAACACAGGACAGTGACTCTAGCTAAGGACCTTCTGTGCTATTAGCGACAAGCTGGTCCGTTCAGTATATCCAGGTTCATACCACCAAAAAGAGCATGGGCAACAATTCAAAATCATACAATTTTTATATTGGATTACCTTAATAGATATGGGTATCATGATGGAACACAGAAGCTCAAAACGAAGAGGAATGACCAATAGTTCATACCATGGACCTTCAAGTGGATATAGAACATACCATTGCTGCAACAAAAAAGTGGGCATTGCTACAAAGTCAACACATTGTTGCACATAATTTCTTTTTTTTTTTTGGGGGGGGGGGGTTGTATTCTTTGTGCAAAGCTAAAAGATAAAAATAAGACTCAAGAACAACAAGAATTCAGAAAATATATGGAACACCGCATGCATGCATGGAGTAAAGGCAACTGAGCAGCAAACAAATTTGAAAGAAATAAAGCAACTAGGATTATGCAGGTATCCCAGGGAGACAACCAGCCAGTCCCAAACATCCAGCCTAAGGTCAGGATTGGTTTAAGGTATTAGGCCTGGGCCCAGCCCAGCTAGACAAAGATTGTTTTACAGATAACTTTTTTATTTAATTCTAAATCTGATTATATTTTGAAATATTAGTATAAAATAATCTTTTGATGCTTTAAATGGGCAGGTTGCAGAAGCTTGGTATTGGCTTTTAATATGAGGACAACCCTCTAAGTTTACACAATGCAAAATTGACACTTAGATAAAATCACACTGCAGAGGAAAAAATAGTGCAACACCACCTAGTGCATATACATCGGTTTGTAGCCAAACCCACAAATTTCATCCCTGAACTATGCGATCACAAATCTTATACCATGATTCAGATTTTAGGATATTCCCTTAATAGGAACCAAAATCCAACTTCAAGGATAACAGTTAATAGAGGTCCTCTCAAGATGTCAAAATTTAAGAGAGTATTGAAATAGATGAACACTGACGTAAAACTAAGCGAACTAATCCGTATCGTACAAAGGAAAGTTCCTACAACTAAAGGGAAAGGCTAATATAGATTCCTGTGCAGTTAAAAAGTATAGAGTCCATGCAAATTTGAATTAAGTTTGGGAAATAAAGGGAACAAAATGTAATTTATCACAACCTTTCTTGCTTCTGTATCCTTCCACACGTTCCCAGCTATACCAAGAACCATAACAACCACTATCTGGAAAACAAATATAGCACCAGTTAACTTGTCAATCATAGCATCCATGGCTGTTAGCTTTGGCTCCGGTATGCCCCTACTCATACCCAACTTAGTTTCATTTCCTGAAAGATGGAACAAATAATTCAAAAACTACAGAAGAAATGTTAACACCATCAGAATGATAAATGAAACCATCAAATGAACAAAGAATCAGAAAAATACAGTGGAAAACTCAGGAAGCAAGTTGGGAGGGGGGGGGGGGAGGCAGAAATATTCACAAAAATATAAACCATACATGTTCAGATGGTACACGGAATGAAATGAAAGAAAAGAAAAGCTATCATGTTATCAAGGCATAAATCAAAATCTACTCAACTAGGCCATCTATGTGGTATTAAAGTCAAGTTCGTTTTAACTTTTTCATAATTTTTGAATCAAGATTAGAATGCATAACAAAGATAATAACCAATATAGGGGGAGAACACAAAGATTATACTACATCCCAGGATGTTTGTGTCGTAACTGGTTTGGTTTTTGTCCGGGTACGAAAAATTTATTTGGCAGAAAAATTGATGTGAATAAATGGTTTTTGAAAATAATTTGAGAGTCGCCATCGGCCTTTTGGGTCAGGTAGGTCGAATACCTAAAAATTATTTTTTAAAAGAGTTTTAAGAAAACATCAATTAAAAAATGAACTGATCTGCATTTATAACCAAAAATTCGTTCTTTTTAATAATAAAAAGGGATTCGTGGTCGGTTACGTTTAGGGAAGGATTAGCACCCCTACAACGCCCAAAATTGGTACTTTTTAATTATAAATTGTCTCTATTAAAAATTTTCAAAATATATTTAATTTATAATCTTATTATTTCGAAATTATATAAAAATATTTATTTATTTAAAAATATCGGAAAAGGACTTCTAGGTGCCTTAAGACAGTTCTTTTATTTGATATTAATAAATATTTACATAAAATTAGATAATATATTTTTTTTAATATTTAATTTTAAAATACCAGAATAGGACATCCAGTTGTATTAAGACTGTCCTTTTCTTCGATATTGAAAAATAAATGTTAAATTTTTTTTAAATAAATAAATATTTATTTATTATAGATATATTTATGACTACATAATAAAAATATTTAAATATATAAACAAGTAAAAATAAAAATACAATTAGAACTATATATTTAAAAGCAATAAAATAAATAAATATATTTAAAATTATTGACTAAATTGTAGTAAATTAAAATTAAAAACCTAATTCAATATTAATCAAAATTATAGGGATTAAACATGCTATTTTCTTATTTATTAATTTAGTGACTAAAATAAACTTATCTAAAATTCGAAATATCAGATTAAAATAAATTAAAACATACTATTCAGATTAAAATATTAATTATTAAAAATAAGGGATTAAATATGTTATTTATCCTAAATATATTATTTTAATACAAAGGACTAAAATAAATAAAATTAAAATTAAAGAACCGAATTAAAAGGATTATAAATTGATTTAGTGACTAAAATGTAAAGTTTACAAATTAGGCTGATTGCGGAAAGGATTTAACTATTATTTAATTACACGAATAGCCCTCCCCAAAACGGCGTCGTTTGGGAAGGGCTATTTAAGCCCCTAACCGGCTGGCCCTTCGGGCCAACTATCCAATTTTTCTTTTTTTTTTCTCTCTCAAACAGAGAGAGAGCCAGAGTTCTCTCTGGCCTCTCTCTATCTTCCCTCACCAGAGGGAATCCGGCAACCGTCTGCCGCCGTAAATTCTGCCGCCGACCACCGCCTCCGGTGGTCGGAAATTCCCTAAATTCACCTAAAATATAGATCTAAACACCCTAAGACCGAATCTGGCCTTTGTTTCCCCAAAAAGACTCCTAATCGGAGTAAATCTATGAAAATACCTTCGGTATTTTCTGTTCTCCGACAATGTTTAGTGCTTCCGGCGATGGTCAAGGCTTCTTTGGTAAGCTTCTTTCCTTTCTTTTCTTTTATTTTTGGTTGCTGTGTTTGGATTTCATTTTTTTTTTGTTTTTGCTGGTCTCTCCCTGTCGCTTTTTTTTTCGTCTTTGTTCGCAGATGGGGTGATGGCTTTATAGCCATCACCGGCGCTCGTCTTGGACCGGTCCGAAGGGTGGAGTTTGGTGAGTCACCGGACTCCCAGTGGTGACTCACCGTTGGGATGACAGGTGTGCGGTCGGAGTGGCGACGAGGCTGAAGCAATGCCGCGTGGTGTTCTGGAATCTACGGCGGCGCTGGGACGTGTCCCTAGGGTATTGATACCCTAGGGTTTCCTCTGGCAAACTGTGGACCGTTGGATCAAACCAGATCCAACGGCTGAAATTGAGCGGCGGCAGATGGATAGAAAACCCTAATTGAGTTTTAGGGTTTTTGATTTGGGCCAGTTGGGTCCTTTGTAATTGGGCCGGTCCAATCTGGGCCTGTTTGTAATATGAATAAATAATATATATTAATAATAATAATACTAATACTAATAATAATAATAAAATGAGTAAAAAAATTTTTTTTAGTATCTTCAGCTGCCCCTCTTTGCTCATTCTTGTGTTAACAAGAATAGGGCAAAGACGAAAAGATAAATTTTTTTTTTATCCATTTGGCTTCACTTGATAGCAATGTTGAATAAATTTTTCTCTTTCTTCAGATAAGTTCTTCTCATTATGAACTTTCCGCTGGGGATGATGTTGACATATTTCCTTCTGTGATAGAGTCATTCCAAAGGTTGAATAAGTTCTTCTCATTATGAACTTCTTCTTTCTTTTTCAGATGAATTCTTCTCATTATGAATTTTCTCTGTAAAGGTTGATCTATTAAGTGATGAATTCAAGCAAAAGTTGAACAAATTCTTCTCATTATGAATCTCTTCTTTCAGATGAGTTCTTCTCATTATGAACTTCTTCTTCTTTCTTCAGATGAGTTCTTCTCATTATGAACTTTCTCTGGAAAAGCTGATCCATCGAATGATGGATTTGAGCATAAGGTTGAACAAATTCTTCTCATTATGAATTTCTTCTTCCTCCTTCAGATGAGTTCTTCTCATTATGAACTTTCTCTGGAAAAGCTGATCCATCAAGTGATGGATTTGAGCCTAAGGTTGAACAAATTCTTCTCATTATGAATTTCTTCTTCCTTCTTCAGATGAGTTCTTCTCATTATGAACTTTCTCTGGAAAAGCTGATCCATCGAATGATGGATTTGAGCATAAGGTTGAACAAATTCTTCTCATTATGAATTTCTTCTTCCTCCTTCAGATGAGTTCTTCTCATTATGAACTTTCTCTGGAAAAGCTGATCCATCAAATGATGGATTTGAGCATAAGGTTGAACAAATTCTTCTCATTATGAATTTCTTCTTCCTCCTTCAGATGAGTTCTTCTCATTATGAACTTTCTCTGGAAAAGCTGATCCATCAAGTGATGGATTTAAATCTTTGCTAAAATCTTTGAAATTCCTGTCAAAATTCAACATGGATGAGAATGAATGAAAATGCACCTATTTTTGCAAATGCCTAAATATGATGCATGATTGTTAAGTTATTTGATTTCAGATTGGTGAACTGAATATTTCTTCAGTTGTAGAAACCCAATAAATCTTTCTTCTTCAAATCAGAGAATCTATCATCTTTGACAAATGTAGATGTAGATATAATGTCACAAAACCTATTGAGAATAAAACTCAATAGTATAGGCTCTTGAAAAGCTTGCATTCATGCAACATGTTAATTCTGATAACAACTCATCTGATTATGAAGTGATCTTTTAAGATGATTTCACAGATATCGATAGTTCTTTTAATACCGAGAAATCTTGAATTCTGATTCTGATGAGGATAATAAACTGTTATACTTGACAAAAATGGGATTCTCAGAGGCTGAGACTTCAATAGCCAGGAAGAGATGTGGTTCAGATTCATCAATTACAAAATTGATAGATTTTATATATGCTGCTCAAATGACTAAGGCTGCTGACGCACTTCTTCCGGTAAAAGATGGGAAGCCATTATGCGATGATCTCAAATACAAGAAAAGGCGAAACTTGTGCTATGATTTTTGGGAAAGGAATAAGCAAAAGAAGCTTGAAAAGAAACTTCTTAATGAAGACGATCATGTAATTCATCTTTTAATTCCAATGATTGTTTCTGGGTTTTATATCAAATCAAATCAGAGAACTCAAAGAACACTTTCAGAAGATGCTATTAGCACATTCCTCTTCCAAATTCAATAACTGGTTCTGTGGTTCATACCAAACCAGATCAGATAACTCAAAGAATACTTCCAGAAGATGCTATTGGGTCTCCTTATTTCTACTATGAGCAAATTCATCTTTCAAATTTAATGATTGGTTCTGTGGTTTCATACCAAACCAGATCAGATAACTCAAAGAATACTTCCAGAAGATGCTATTGGGTCTCCTTATTTCTACTATGAGCAAATTCATCTTTCAAATTTAATGATTGGTTCTGTGGTTTCATATCAAACCAGATCAGATAACTCAAAGAACACTTCCAGAAGATGCTATTGGGTCTCCTTATTTCTACTATGAGCAAATTCATCTTTCAAATTTAATGATTGGTTCTGTGGTTTCATATCAAACCAGATCAGATAACTCAAAGAACACTTCCAGAAGATGCTATTAGCACATTCCTCTTCCAAATTCAATAACTGGTTTTACCAAACCAGATCAGATAACTCAAAGAACACTTCCAGAAGATACTATTAGCACATTCCTCTTCCAAATTCAATAATTGGTTTTACCAAACCAGATCAGATAAATCAAAGAACACTTCCAGAAGATGCTATGAGGACATTCATCTTTCAAATTCAATGATTGGTTTTACCAAACCAGATCAGATAACTCAAATAACACTTCCAGAAGATGCTATGAGCACATTCATCTTTCAAATTCAATGATTGGTTTTACCAAACCAGATCAGATAAATCAAAGAACACTTCCAGAAGATGCTATGAGTACATTGTATTTGTTCCAGTTAATGTTTGGACTGGGATATCACAGTACTTATTAGATGTAAAGCCAGAATTTGTAGATTCGAAGCATTTTCATGCTACTACACTGAAAAGGGCTATATTCATA